TGGCTTCCGGGGGTGGCTTCGGGCCTTGTCCGCATGCTGGGCCTGCACCAGGCCGTGGGTCTCTGGAGGTCATTTAGCCCGGCACCGCCTGAGCAAAGCCCTCAGGGTTTGTCTATGGCTTTGGAATGTCCTTAGGGAAGGAGACTCCACAGGTTCTCTGGGCAAGCAGAGCCCACCGAGGTGCACTGCTGGTGGGGGTGCAGTGCTGCAGGGCTGGAGCCATTAGAGTTGTTACTGCTTTTATTAGGAGTGGGAAGTGAGGGATTTCGCGGGAATGAAAAACAGTTCCTTTGTAACATTTTGCGTGAAACCGCGCATGGGTTGTCGACTATATTGGGGCATATGAGAAAGCAAAATTTTTTACTTAGAAACTAGGGCTGATTTTTTTTTTTTACATATGGACAGTGATTTTCTTCTGTAGTTGTAGTTATTTTCTGATATGCTTTTTATTCACAACAAATTAGAAAACGGAGCAGTAACAGAAAATAAGTAACTAGTCTTGTTAAAATTCTGTTTTCACTCAGAGCCATGATAGAAGGTGGGTGGGTGATTGCTCTGCGGAGGCGGCCTGCGTGCAGAGCAGCACTTTGGGAAGGCCTGTGCCTTCTTCTGGCCAATAGACTTGATGAGTCCATGGGATGTGTAGAATGTCTGGATTGAGTGGTTTAAAACACCACAAATACAAAAAGGCTCTGATTCTGTCTTGAGTAGCCAGAGGCTGAGAATGTGTTTTGGTGCCAGCAGGAAGGAGGAAAGAGAAGTGGAAGCAGACGGAGCAGTTCCTGAGAAGGAGGAGAGGAGCAAGCCCAACCTGATGCACCCCCCGCCCCGCCGCCGGAGCTACGTTCCGCCTGAGAACCTGCAGAGCTGCCTTGAGTCCCATGTCAGGGAGGTCTTCGGGCCCTCTGTTCCCGAGGACTGGCAGCAGGCTCCCCTGCAGGATAAGAGGCTGAAGCACCGCCTGCTGGCTCGGCTGGCCACAGAGCTGGGACATACCGTCCCCAACTCGCAGCTGCACCGCATGCGCTGCGCTGGGGACGTGCTGGGCTTCTACCGCACCCCCGTGAAGGACAGCACCAAGATCGATGAACTCACAGCTGCAGAGCTGCCCCCGAACCTGAAAATCATCTGGCAGCAGTGAGTCCCCCCATGCAGCATCCCTGTGCCTGGCTGGTGCTGCAGGGCAGCAGCAGAGCCTTCTGGCTGGGGTGAGATCTGTGAATTTCAGTAATAAAGGTTCACTGAGCTGTGCTCAGGTTTGGCTGTTCCTGCTCTGCTCTTTTTTCCCTGCAGACCAGTTCTTGTGAGGGGCAGCATGGGCACTGCCCCTGCCCTTGCCCTGCTGCTGGGCACTGACAGGAACCAGTGAGGATCAACAAGGGGGCCATTTCCACAGTTTCTACTCTGCAACTCTGTATTGGTTTTGGCTGAAGTGGAGTTAATTTTGTTCCCAGGGGCTGTTATGGGGCTGTATTTTTGACCTGTGCTGAACTCAGGGCTGATAATACAGAGATGTTTTTGCTATTGCTGAGCAGGGCTTGCACAAAGCCAAGGCCTTTCCTGTTATTCTTCCTGCCACACAGTTGAGGGGATGGGGGGTACATGGAAGGGGACACAGCCAGGACAGGTGACCCAAACTGACCCAAGGGATATTCCAGACCATATGGCATCAGGCTCAGTGTATAAAACAATGGAGGAAGAAGGAAGCAGAGGACATGTGGAGTGATGGCATTTGTCCTTTCAAGTCACTGAGATGTGCAGTGGGACCCTGCTCTGCTGGAGATGCTGAACACCAGCCTGGCCATGGGAAGCAGGGTATTAATTCCTTATTTTGCTTTGCTTGTGTGTGCAGCCTTTGCTTCCCGTATTAAACTGTCCTTACCCCAACGTACGACTTTCAAAGCTTTTACCTTTCTGATTCTCAGGACCATGGCAGTGTGCTTCCCACTGCTCACACTGTGGCTCACAGATATCTTCTGCTTTCCTTCTGTTTCACTGCTGTGAAAGCCAAACGCCTGTGTGGCCACTCTGGGGATGCGCTTGGCAAGCACTGAAGCACAGATGCCAAGCTCTGGAATGTTTTTTCCAGGACTGATGAATGGCACTGTAGCTGTCTGCCTGCCTGGATTTCTTTGTACTGTTCCTGGTTGGCCCAAATCTGGGTGTCAAAGCAATTGAAGGAGTTGCCAGCAGGACTGATGAGGATTAGTCTGTGCTAGCCTTCAGGATGCTGTGATCTTTCCATTTCCCTTTCTCAAAAGGAAAAAACAAACAAAATATGAAAATTTGTTCAATTGACCTGTTTCATATCTTACCATATGTCAACAAGAGCTCTCATGGACTGAAACACTCAACAATGTCAAAATTTATGATTTCTTTCCAGAATATGAAGTTTGGTCGGTTTTATAACACACAATTCAGTTGAGTTTTACTTCTGCTTTTCCTTATATTTACTTTCATTGAAAGCATCAAAACACTGCATAATTGCAGTATGGTTTTGCCTAAGTAAGCGTGCTGCCAAGACTTTACAACTTTACATCCCTGAGTTGTGGATTAGGGATACATTTTCCTTAAGCACCCAGACAATTTCTACATAAAGGAAAAAGTAACCATTTAATTCTTGTCTCTGGAGATCAGCTGTCTGCTTTTAGCTGTTTGCTTTTTTGGTGTTCGGGGTTTTTTTTCACAAATTCTTACAGAAATTCTTGTACATGAAAGAGCAGTTTATATTTTAATCTTTCCAAAAGCACAATCACAGAAAGCATAACAAATTTTCATGAAATTCTGAAGCAGAAAACGGTAAGTATTTCGCATAGCATTTTCTATTTCTAGACTGCTGTCAGTAACTCTGACTCTAATGATTGGGTCTCCTCTTCTTGGAGATTTCGCACCCTTAGAGAAAGACAGATCCCTGGAGAATAATTTATATCTACACAATTGTGGATTCTTTGGGGCTCTTTTTGCTTCTGTGGGCAAATGGAACAGTGAAATATGAGGAACACAGAATTTACTAACTGGTTCTTTAGGCAGTCAGATTATTAAGGAAAATATAGACAAAGGTCATAAATTCATAATGGAAAGCTGGACAAGGACACCAAGCCCCAAGTCTTTATTTCCCTGTCTCCTGAAGCTGGAAGTTTCTTTCTTCCCCTGCAAACCAGGTGGCAAAATCTGCTCCAGAATCACTGACAGGATCTTTTCAGCTCATGGTCTAGAATCAGAGCAAGGCAGAAAAGCCAAGGATTCTTAAAACAAAATGAAAAACAAACAAACAAACAAAAAAAAAACACCAAAAAAACCACCAGTAAAGAGTAGAAAAAAATGGACTTCATTTGCTGATAGGTGTGCCTGGAAAAGGGTAATGTTTGTTTTGTGTCAGCTGGGTGAGGAATTGGGCCAAAATCGAAGTACTTTGGAGGATGCAGTTCAGCCTGTTTCCTGTTGTGCATCCATGAAACGGATTCATCTGAGAGTACTGACCATGGAATTAGCACTAGATAAAAACAAAGACAGACAGATGAAATTAACTTTGCCTTTAATCTGTAGCAATTAGAGTCTCTAAAATTTACAGACCACAATAAAGGGTGGAAATTTATTGAGCAAACATATAGCCTACAAGAGATGTAAGAGTCAGAGATCACAGATAATAAATGGGTCTTTGTTCACAGTATGTGCATCACAGTATGTGATGGGGCTGTCTTCTGCTCTTTGCAAGGCTTTTGTTTGTTTTTTTTTTCTTTTTTTAAGATAACACAGCTGAACACAGATGGCTGGCTGAGAGAAATGAAAATGATCTTGCCTTCTTATTTTTATATCGTCAACAGTGGGGGGAAAAAGGAAAAAACATGGGAGAGCAAGAAATGTGCCAGATGAGGTTCTAGTATGTTAACGTGAAGGAAACTGCAACAAGTGTTGACATTTTGGCATTCAGAACTTGCTTTCACAGGGGTCTATGTGACGGAACGCGAACCTTCTTCACTTTCTTCTGGTGAAATACTCGCTATGAAGTGTAAATGAAGACCAAAGAGCTTTTCGCTACGTTAGCTTGCCAAAACGTCTGGATTTGTGTTTAAATAGGTTAGCAACACCGGGTTATCCCCCGGAGAAGACAGCTCTTTCCCAGCCACACCGACCGCGCCGCTCCCGGGCATTCCACATAGTCCCGCCGCACCACGTGACAAGCGGGAAGCGTTCCACGGCAACAGGTCCTGGCAGCTGCACGGGCATCCCAAAACACTCCCCCTCGGCAGGGAGGCACGGAAGGGGGTCTCGCCGAGCTCGGAGCTGAGTTT